CTCAAAGATGCCTGTTTTTTTTTTGCACTGGGGGCCTCCATGAATGTCCAACCAAGGTGGCTTCCTAATGAGGCATCCGGATGGTACGGTGGAGTGTGAGGGCTTCTGAGTGTCAAAGAACAAGAACTTTCTTCCAAGCAGTAGCCTATACAGCTGGGTGGAAGACTACTGAGGATGTCTTTAGCCAAGACAACATGGCCTACCTGTAAACATCAGCCGCTTCTCTTAGTGACTGTCCTTTATTCCAAATAAAATAAAATAAAGACCGACATATTCTTCTGTATGTCTTACTCACAGCAAGGTTGGTCCACTGTATACTCCTCCAAATGCATCTTGGTCAATAGCTGTCAAGTACTTATTCTTGTTCAGGTAACTAGAGAGAGAGAAAGAGAGAGAGAGAGAATGAATTAGGTGAGGTTAAGCGAATTGACGCAAATTCCAAAATAAAATGTGAGCATGGTTTCCCTAGCTATTAACTGGTTTCTAAGAATTTGGAAAACACCTTACCTTCTTCTGGCTTAAGCACTCAAAACATTCTAGGTTTTAGTGGTGCAAGGTTTATACATATTAATTTCGGCAGAAGTCTTTGAAAGTGAGCATGTTCAGGATCCAGTTTGCATATCTAGATTTTATAAAAATTGTCTCATTCCCTATTTACAGGCATACCTCAGAGATGCTGCAGATTTGGTTCCAGACCACCACAATAAAGTGAGTCAAGTGAATTTTTGGTTTCCCATTGCATATAAAAGTTGTGTTTAGACCATATTGCAGACTTTTAATTGTACAATAGCATCATGTCTAAAAACCCAATGTACATATCTTAATTAAACACTTTGTTGCTAAAAAATGCTAACGGTCACCTGAACTTAAGCAAGTCGTAATCTCTTTGTTGGCGGAGGGACTTGCCTTGATGATGATGGCTGCTGACTGATTGGGGTGGTGGCTGCTGAAGGTCAGAGTGAATGTGGCAATTTCTTAGGACAACAGTGAAGTTTGCTGCATTGATTGACTCTTCTCTTCAAGAATTATTTCTCTGTAGCATGTGATGCTGTGTGATAGCATTTTACCCACAGAACGTCTTTCAAAGTTGGGGTCAATCTTCTCAAACCCTGCCTCAACTAAATTTATGTCATAATCTAAATCCTTGAGTTATCATTTGAACAATCTTCACAGCATCTTCTCCAGGTGTGGATTCCAACTCAAGAAACCACTTTCTTTCCTCATCCATAAGGAGCAACTCCTCATCCATTCAAATTTTATCATGAGATTGCAGCAATTTAAATATAATAACAATAAACAAGTTTGAAATATTGTGATAATTACCAAAATGTGACAGACACAAAATGAGCAAATGCTGTTGAAAAATGGCGCCAGTAGAGTTTGCTTGATGCAGGGTTGATTCAAACCTTCAATTTGTAAAATGCAATATCTGTGACTCACAATAAAGGGAAGCGTGGTAAAATGAGGTATGCCTGTACCTGATCAGTGGTGACTGTAGTTTTCAATCCACTTCAGTGCCAACTGATTTAAATTTTCTCAATATTCGTCAATATTCCCATTTGCTTCTGAAGCCTGGGCTTAAATCAGGAAGGGAGGGGTCCCTGGGTGGCTCAGTCGGTTGAGCATCTGACTTTGGCTCAGGTCATGATATCACAGTTCATGAGTTCCAGCCCTGTGTCAGGCTCTGTGCTGACAGCTCAGCGCCTGGAGCCTGCTTTGGTTTCTGTGTCTCCCTCTCTCTCTGCCCCTCCCCTGCTTGCACACCATTTTTCTCTTTCTGTGTCTCTCTCAAAAAATAAACATTAAGAATATTTTAAATCAAGAAGGGAATGACCATGGTGAAGGTGGTGAATTTCTTTGGGGCAGGGTTGCCTGGTTTAGCAAGTAAAAATACAAGATGCCCAGATAAACAATGAATAACTTTTAGCATAAGTATTCCCCATGTAACTTTTGAAACATTCCTATACTAAAAAGTTGTGGTTTATCTGAAATTAAAATTTAATTAGGTGGCACGTATTATCTCTGACAATCGTGTTTGTTGGGGGTGGGGCAGGTTGTATAGATAAGATTACAGACAATGAATGTGTAAATGAGTGAATAAAAACAAAATCAGGGGTGCCTGTGTGGCTCAGTTGGTTAAGCATCCAACTTTGGCTCAGGTCGCAATCTCACAATTCATGGATTTGAGCCCCTTGTCAGGCTCTGTGCTGACCAGCTGGAGCCTGGAGCCTGCTTCTGATTCTGTGTCTCCCTCTCTCTCTGCCCCAACTCAAACTCTGTCTCTCTTTCTCTCTCTCAAAATAATAAGCATTAAAAAATTTAAAAAAATCAATGTAGCTCTCTTCAAAAGCAGTGAGGTGGGTGAATTTCAACTTTTAGTGACACATGAGATTGCTTTAAGGAAAAAATAATCCAGAATGAAAGAAGACTCAGCATCTGGTGTGGTGGCCACGTGACTTTCTTGATGGCAGTGACAGACAGCTGGTTTACAAATGCCACAGGGTATGGGCAGGACATGGCTTTTCAGGCAGTGACTGAGAAAATCCTAAGCTTCTAGGACATTGTTAAGTCTGAAATGGAGGGGTTCAATTAATCTCATACATACACACACACACACACACACACACACACACAGACCCGATTAAGATGTGGCAGCAGTCACGTGTGCCTTCTGGTTAAATGGCTGTCATGTAAGGCTGTCAATAACAGGCTTCATGTGGTCACTGTATGACTGTCCCTCAACCCTCCGTGTCCATGAAATTCCTTTGATCAGTGATAGCTAGAGCAGGCAAGAACCATCTTGGAGAAACAATCGGAGAGAAGACCCTGAACAGCATGATTTTGTAAAAAGACAACTAAGTGTAGTGCTGCACTGGCTGGCATCTCTTTTTGTATTCTTTGGACCTTGCAACTTGCAGATCACATTCCGTTCCCAGACTCATGTGAGGATCGGTGAGCTCATCTCAGTTTTTCCTCTTCATTGCAGACTGCTACAAGTGAAAATCGGCTTGCTCTAATCATTAGAAATTATTGTAAAACTAAATAATTGCTTGTCCAATTCTGTAGTGTTTTCATCTGATATTCAATACGCCCCCAAGGATAAGGAGACTGGTTGATAAGCATTGCAGTTTACCAGAAACGCTGCAGAAGATTTCAAACTGGGAAAGCCAGCCAGAGTCCAGGAGGGGAGAAAGGATGGAGAGAGGGTGCAGCCAGCTTGAACGGAGATGAACTGAGTCTTGGGGGAGGCTGTGTTCTCTAAAACCAGCAGGGTTGTTGGGCACTTTATCTCTTTAGAGTTAATTAGGTGCTCGCTCAAAAATGAAACTATTAGGGGCGCCTGGGTGGCTTAGCCGGTAAGAGTCTGACTGGCTCAGGTCATGGTCTCACTGTTCATGGGTTTGAGCCCCGTGTCGGGTTCTGTGCTGACAGCTCAGAGCATGGAGCCTGCTTCAGATTCTGTATCTCCCTCTCTCTCTCTGCTCCTCCCCTATTCACACTCTGTCTCTCCCTCAAAAATAAAGATTTAAAAAATGAAAATATTAGTCCATGTGTAGGTGTTTCAAGGGGCTTCCTTATTATCACAGATTGTGATAATTCCGTGAAGCTTTTTACCTTGGATTCAGATTGCTGATCCCACTTTCCATTTGAAGCTAAGAGGATGGGATGGGGACATAGATTTTTAAAACCCTTAATATCCAAGAGGCAAGTGGTTTTTTTGTTTTGTTTTGTTTTGTTTTGTTTTGTTTTGTTTTGTTTTGTTTTTATCATCCTCATTTATCACATAATGTTACCTGAGAATGTCAGTCTGGTTAGACGGATGCCTCCACCATGATTTAGGCTGATTCTCCTAGAATCCACATTCTATAAACAAGCTTGGATAAATCAATCACAAACCTTGGTAGGCTACATGAGTAAGCTATTCCAGACAATGATTCCTTTACAGCGATGGGGTATGTGATCATTTTTGCAAGGATATCCTTTTGCAAGGATATGGTTGACATAAATGAGCTTAATAGACAGTATAAAGTCTTTGAGTCAGAGCTGAAAGGAAAGACTTCTTGAAATCCAGGATTTCTAAATACAAATACTGTGAAGGGCTTATGGGAAAAGAACTAACATTTCCTTTAGAAATGGTACAGACACTGCTACGGGTATGTTCAATGCTTTACACTGCTTATGATGTGTATCTCACAGTTAAGGAACAACAATGTAGTCAGAAAAATGAGGATGGTCAGGAATGAGTTGGGGAAGAATATCCAATTGATGAACTTAGCATGGAAGATACAATATTATAGCTCACATCCTTGTTCATTGGACTTATCCTTGGCATGTAACAGCCATTCAGTAAAAACTTGATGGATGAATAAATGAATGTCCAGTTGCTGGGTAACTCCTAGCTACAGGTGCCCTATATATTATGTTTAGGTGAGGAAGTGACCTATGTCAGAGGGAGGAGGTTGGCACTGTGGCAAGGAAAGTTGTGGTTGCTGTGGAGCTTTGCTCTCTGGGGAATTTTGGATATATTTCAGCTCCAAGATGGAATTTCAGCCTGCATTTCCATAGTCCCTTTAGGGGAAATTTGGGCTGGCACCTGTTTATGTTGTGAGACTCATGGGAATACTTCTGTAAGGAACCATGTTTCCCCATCTATGCGTTGGTTATTTGGAAAAATTAAAGGGAACCCCTGCCCAGCCCTCATTGCTCCATGGAAATCCTTTTGGTAGCAGAAATCAGATCTGTCTATAAACAGTAACAGGTGAGAAAATGCTCAAGGTTTCAATAGACAGAGGTAAAAGCCAGCCTTAGAGCATATCTTACAAGCCATTCAAATACTCCATGGGAAATAATAGCCTGCTTAATCCCATAATCTTCTCTATTGTCATCTTGTCCCAGTGCTCCAAACTGTGGTGTTTTGTGTCTAGTCAACTAATATGTGAGGCTCATTAGCACATGAATTGTGTTGACTTCTCTGTTCATAATGACTAGCTGTTCAGTATGTTCTTAGCAGATCAACATGGTATTTTTTTTTTTCTTGCCCAAATGTTTACTGTCAGATAGTAGCTAGTTACTTGAGTTTGACAATAGAAAATACAACACCGAGAATCAGACATTAAGTAACATATCCCTATGCCAGATTGTGTGAAAGAGAGGGTGGAAAAGAGGTTCCAAAGAATGAATGTGTGGCTTAATTTACAACTGGGAGCAGTTCAACTTCTGCTGAGCAAGGGATACTTGTATTATCATTAATTTCACATCTGAGTGATGACAGTGTGCTTGGTTCCATATGAAATCACAGGACCAAGTGCTTTTACACATCTGCCATGATTTTCACGAACTTTTACCCAACTACAGCTGAAGCATCTGTGCTTG